AGAGAGAGAGAGAGAGATGATACTGACCTGTGAAAGGCAAAGCCTCGAGCCACTGATGCGCTATAGATGTCTCAAGGAGGGAGGCCAGCTATGGCTGGTGGCGTTGTTGAGCCCCCACCGCTTCCAGGGCCTGGTCCTATGTCCCTCCTCGACCGAGTGTAGTGGGTTGGTGGACTGGCAGGCTGTCACACAGGATTTTGGTAAGTTTTAAGGAAGTATAGAAGTGCATTCACAAGCAGCCTTTGTCACACAGTCGAGTAGTCAGGGTTATCCCTCCTGCCAGCGGCGACACGACTTAGAGTAAGGCGTTCGGTTTTATTGCCTGCACCTGACCCCGTATAAAGGTTAGATTCAAGGTCACCGAAGTCCCTATTATCCAGGCATCCTTTAAGTAGCCTTGAGTGTAACCTATATGATGACGAGTGATAAATAGCATATCATCTCATACATAAAACATTCCATACATTACAGGACATGCATCATAAAAATAAGTGGCACTGAGAGGACGAAAAGACCAGAAACCAGACTCTGCAAGAGCATGACCAAAGACACAAGACTGAAGAGTAGTACACACGGAATGCAGGGAGCAGTCATTGGAGGACTGCAGTCACTAATCAATCATAATAATGTCATGGTACATCATAGTGACTAGAAGGAGAGTCTCAATCAATAATGATAAGCGGTCCCCCCCTCGTGAGTGGGCTCAACTGTTCGAGATTCCATGTCCGGCACGCGCTGATCTTCCTCGCCATTGGGAACCCTGGTTGCTATTGACTCTGGGACCACGTAGCTGATATCCATGGGTGCTGCAAGATCGATCTTGCTAATGTACGCCATGCACCTAGCCATCTCCTCGTCTGCAACACTCCTGAGATAGAGTTCCTCTGCGAGGGTAATCTCACCTGTAGCTCCGATCAATATCTCGATCCGTCCCTTCCGGTCAATGTAGACATATGAATCCTCAAGGAATCGATCTCCATAAAGAGGCTTTTGATAAGCCAGCATAGCAAAATCAGTCCCAACCAAATGGTTGTAGCCATCCCCAAGGTATGGGACAGGGCCTTCCCCTCTGGGAGGTCCGATAGTCGTCTCGGCCCTAGGTGCGGCTGACATATAGGAATCAATCACCCTCGAGCAAATATCGTGCAAGAAGATACGCAATCCTCCTCAATGTCGCTCTCCGCCGTCGCTGCCTACCGGTCTCCAGTGCTCCGCTACTGCCAACAGACTCAGTCTTTGTGAGTGTCTCAGTCGAAGTAGTCGCCAAGATCAACGTCGCTCACACTACAAGGGTCTTGGTCAAACTCATTTGTCTCTGATCGCTGCACGCAAGTAGTGATTGGAATCCCAAATTTGGCTATCTCTCTCCTGACTCGCTCATCCTTCTGTCTCTTCCCCTTGCTGCGTGCCTCGCTGAGGGGCTTAGGATTGCACCCATCGAAGTTGAAGAGTACACCCCCAGGCACTGATGGTACGCGAGCGAACACCACATGCAGCCACTTATCCCTCCAATAGCTCTCCCTGCGGAATATATAGTCTGCAATCCTTTCATAAGTGGTGCCCTTCACTCCATCCTTTCCTGCCCCCTTTACAAAATAGGTAATCACCAGCGTGTGTCGTGAGGTTGGGGACTCATTGGCCCTGATGACGAAGCTCAGATGCCCCACATGTCGGTAGCAGAACTTCTCAACTCATTTGCCCCAGGTAGGGGCTGTCTCAGGATGACGGGCCAGCTTGAACAATAGCTACACCCCTGCGAGGGTTGATGCTCCCTCCAATGTCTGGGCCCGACCGAATGGTGGTCAGCAACTCAATGTAAGTGCCCACCTGAGTGGGCTCAATTGAACAATAACAACCTCAAGGAATGGGCCCGCCTGAAGGGG